AGTACACTTGGAGTGCTCTTGTTTCTTCTTCACGGGAGTTGACTCAACTACTCAAGGAGAGCACCTTCTCTTGTTGTTTGAGGAATTGTAGATAAACTTGACCATATACATCTTTTTTATCCTCAAAACAATATTCATCCTCCATACATACTGGGATTTCTTCTTCCAAGTCTTCTACCACAGTAATAGGACTAGTTTCAACTTCGCTCGTGGAAGTTTCTCTAGGGGGTGAGAATGTGACCCAATGAAGACCGTAAAATTCTTTTCATCATCATTAGAAAAGGAGTCAGCACTTGGGTTTGACTTACTTTGTGAGGGATCGACCTCCCCATTACCGGGGATATACCTCCCTCCAAGAGCAATCCTCCCCATTACGGGGATATCCCGCTCTCCATCAAAGGATTTCGGCTGACCTGCGGGGCAAACCCCCACAGTAGCCTTTACCTCTGTCCCACATCGGGGAAAGAGTCGTCTCCCCACCCCCATATAAGCTGAAGCACCATATGAGAGCAGTACCCAAGTAGCACCATATGGGGGTGGGGAGACGACTCTTTCCCCGATGTGGGACAGAGGTAAAGGCTACTGTGGGGATTTGCCCCGCAGGTCAGCCGAAATCCTTTGATGGAGAGCGGGATATCCCCGGTAATGGGGAGGATTGCTCTTGGAGGGAGGTATATCCCCGGTAATGGGGAGGTCGATCCCTCACATACTTTCACTATCACTCCATGTGGCCTTCATGACTCTTTTTTTGTCTTTGGGCGAATCACTATTCTTTCTATTTGGGAATTCTTATGCAATATGCCCAAATCCTTGACATTCAAAGTATTGCCCCTTTCTCTCAACTTCTTTTTGAGTGTCTCGTCCCCTTTTCTGTCTTCCCTCCTTAGGAGTAGGTTACTAGGCTTTCCTTTAAACCTTGGGGACTCGACATTGCTAGACTTGAAGTATTTTTTGAAATTTCCTAGAAATTAAGGCTAGCTCTAACTCGAATGTACCTCCTTATTGACTTATAGTACTTACGGCAATGCTCTTAGCTTGCTTTTAAGGATGGAAAGTTCATCTCAAAGGTTAATATAAATTCAACTAGGTCTTCCACCAACATCAACTCCATGTTGACACTTGTTTCCAAGGATTTGACCTTAGCATGAAACCTCTCCGGTAGAGATCCCAAGATTTTTCACTTGATGGCCACATTGTCAACCTTGATACCTAATGTAAATGATGAATTTACAATATCACGTAATCTAGCATAAAATTCACTAAATGTTTCATCATCTTGCGTCCTCAAAGTCTCAAACTGAGATATGTACATTTGGAGTCTAGACATCATCACTATGAAAGTCCTTTTGTGGGAAATAACAAATTTGTCTCACGCTTCCTTTGAAGTTTCGTAATTTGTAATCTTTCGAAACTCATTGGTGTCACAACATTGAATATCATATTCAAACCTTTAGAGTTGTACCTCATAGACTCATTCTCATTTTTAGTTCATACCTTTGAAAGTTTTACTTCAACCACCACTTCACCACCTTCAACTTGCATGTTGGTGGTGGAAGGGCTCCAACTCTCTTACATGATTAATCATACTCTCTCATCAAATGATTTTAGAAATACCTTCATGTGAGCTTTCCAATGTGCAAACTTGGAACCATCAAAGACAAGAGGTTGAGTAAATGAACCACCTTCCTTTTTGAGACTCCATTGAATACTAACTAGTAGTACCAATGGATCTCTTGAAGGTAAACCTAGGTAAGTAAACAAAAATAGGATACGTCTACTCAGTGTCTATGATCTCTTGACTACGACTCACAGTTAAAGATGAAGTGTATACAATGAGACGTTTACACATATTTTTATAGTAACATTACAACTAATTGTGTGACTATATATAAACACCTTATACGTGGTAGATATCACATAAATTGAACATTATGTCTATATCAAGAGGATCTACAGCCTATAACAATCGCACAAGCCAATGAGTTTGGTTGTTAAGAGAGCAAAAAAATGATTATAAGAGTACGAGTTTTTTTTATCCAAAAGAGTATTATGCAAGATTACGACGAAAGTGGACATTTCGTGCTAATGAATTAGACACATTATGCACACAGCTAAGAGTACTTGCATATCGATGCCACATACATGTTCACTGACGATGCAACAAAAGAATTCAAAGGACTATGAATCAACAGTTAATCATGTCCAAAAAGGGAATAATAGGATGTTGGTGTGTAGGTATCGATATTATATGCTCTAACTAGTAACAAACATGGTGAGAACTGCATGTGGAAGAGAGTTGACACCTATTGAGCAAAATAATGACTTATCTAATAAACAATACCTATCAAATGATTATATGTCTGATAAGGAATAACAAGAGTAATTAGTGTCAAAATGGTGATGTCTATTTTATCTCAATGTGAAGTAATCACGTAACTTTATCATTGTAATTAGTGTGATTTTTGATGTCTTTACCTCATCTTGGGATTTTTTTAATTAATGTCACAAATGTTCTGCATTGTCACAATCTTATCAGTGTATTGTCATGTCATAACTTCAACAGTGTGAGGTCATGTCATTACTTTATCAGTATCAAGTCATATCACAACTTGATAATGTGAAATCATTTTAAATATTTAAAAAATAGTTGTGAACTTCATATGCCCAACCATGCCTATATAAATCTTCAATCATATCTATGGAAAACATAGCAAAAAAATGTTTAGGCACACATCAAATAGGCATTCTAACCAAACTGACAAAGGATCTTCATCACACAATGAACAACATAGTTCATCTACAAGCAACCAACATCATCGATCGACTGACCAACCAGCACCGTGGCACATAGTGTCTTTTATTGGATCGTGCATAGATTACAGTGATGTAACATGATATGGATGAAAATGTGAGTTCCATAATGAGCCCATCAACATTCATAACCCATTAGGGCATGTTGTTCTTGAAACTATGCAACTTATAATCCGCCTCCGATTGCTCATATCGAGCCCACACAAAAATGGCAAAAGTTATATGACAAACATTGTGAACTTGAAATATATTATCATTAACATGGATTATCGGTACCAAAGGCACGTTCAGCTGATATATACCATTCATGGAACTCAAACAACCATAACGAAATCGTAGCAAGGCTTGACGTGAAAATGATCAAATGTAACGTCGGCTTGATCATTTGCATGCAATTGAGTATGCACAAATTGAGCATTTCGATCTTGATTATGCCATTATTGAAATTTTAGAGGATCTGTTACTTTTTTCCGATCCTGAAGTTTCTGAATTTTCAGATTCAAGTGACAATGAGTTTGAAAATTTTCTTCTAGCAACTTTATGTGTATGTGGTAAACCTCTATGTTGTTATGAACATCAACCACATTATTAAAAGACTATATTTTATGCAGTGTTATGAAATAAAGTTTTATTTTATACATAAGTAGCATTTTTTGTCTGAATTATTATTACAAAATAAAACGTTGAATATTTAAGATCAACAGAAAACGAGCATTTTTGTGCAGCATGTCCATAAAATTTATTACATTGTTTTGAGGATCAAAACATGGACATATGTGCATGGTTTATAAATGTCATTGTTGGATGAACTTTTGGCATTGTTTTGGAATACACAAAATTTTTTTTTACTTAAAACCAAAAATGAAGAAGCATCTAATTTTTTGATTACATGTAGCAATTGGGCACAACAATTGATGAAAACACCATTTGGAGTGAGGCCTTTAAAGATGTCATTTGGAGTGACGCTTTTAAAGGCTCATTCTAAATGACGTCTTTAGGATTTAATGTACAATTTATGTTCGTTCATTTACACTTAAAAATGTCATTTATAATGACATTTTCAATGATGAAGGCATCATTTAAAATGATATTTTCTAAAAGTGACTGGTTTGAAAAATAAGTTCAAAAGTATCTGGTTTTCGAAAATAAGATTTTTAGTGGCATGCGAATGGTGAAAAACTCCCTCAAGAAATATCACCGTGCAGTGCTTGTTTTGTTAAGTGAACCTACATCCAACCATGAATTAATTTCTATTCCGAGACAATTTTATAACATTATTTTTTTGGATAAATTTCTTACCGACCCCTGAAATTTGCTTGAATCACACCACCGTAAACTCTTGGCATTTATATTGTTAATTAAAGGAGAGGATGGATTTGGTATGAAATATCCGTATTGTCTTTTAACTATTCATAATTATTTATAACTTCTCCTCTTGGTCATTTTACATTTTTCATATTTATCTCTCATTCTATATCTCACTTTTTGTGTTTACGCACATAGATGTCATGTGCCAGCGCCCCAGAAGAAGTTTAAAATTTCCCTTTACACTAAAATTAAAGGAACCAATTTACCTTCAAAGAACCATAGAAGAAGACAATTCTAGCCAGCAATTAGGTAAAATTTATCCATAGTTTAAGTCAAACTAACCAATTATTTTTGTTAAATTAATTTTACTTAAATGAAAAGATCATTGGGTTATAATCACTAACTTACATGTAAACAGTGCAATGTCATCTGTCCAATTATTTTAAAAGCTAGGGGCAATATATTAAATGGATAACAAGTATTGTAGTTGGTGCGAGGGTAAATTTACTTACGACTGATCTGTTCAAATTTTATAGTGGCAAGAGTCTCTTAACTGGCCTTTTTTTTTTGATTTTTTTACGAGTATTGTCGGGCAATATATAAATCTATCTGTTCAAACCCAAAAAAAAATGTTGGTTTTGTTGGGTTACAGGACCCGGATCACTAACCTTCTTTATTTTATTTTATTTTTTTACGGATCACTAACATACCGAAAAGAAAAGGAACTAAAGTCACTATACCAATCTTTACAAAACCCATGGGAGCAATGTTTCTGAAACAACAAAGATGTGGTTTTTTGTTAGCAACATTTGAGCAGGCGTAGTCCAAAGTCAGTGGGGGCAGGCAAGGGTCCCCATACCAATCAATGTAATTCTACTACTCATTAATTTATTATCTCAATAGTTCATACAACTTGGTAATTTTACATATAAGTACTAAATGGTTAAGTAGTCATCCGCAGAAACAAGCATCCCTTCATATACTAGACATGAACACCACCACGCTCACCCATCTTCGTTCTTATCATGTCTTTAGACAGCAACAATGGAATAACAAAAAAAATTAGTCTCAACTGTAATTAATCTCTTCTGCCACGAGACAACAGTCCCGCTCTGCCAGACCTATTAGTCATGCTAACTGAGCTAAGATGAACTACCATTCAGAAAGGTGTATGTACATAGTTCAAAATCTGCTCTCCTATTGCTAACCCCTTAAATCCACTCTTCAAAATACTGTTCAGTCTATCTCTGAGAATTCCAAAAAGATTGCAGCTAATCAGCAAGCTCCAATTATATGTGCAAAGTATATGTTGCAAGTGACGCACAGAAAGGCATAGCAGGCCAATTACAACTAAGCCTACAAAATGGATTGCTCCGGGTGTTATTCCACATAGATGGTGTAACTTTTGTTTATACTAAACTTGTGACTTCTCTGGCTGCCTAGAGAGTTCCTTATCAGCAAAATGAAGCAGCCTTCTAAGCCTCAAAACCATGTCACAGTGAAAAGGCAGCGATGATCGCCTTTCCAAGTAAGCTGGGCTCACAGTCATCCACGATAGAGCATGAAGTTCTGCAGCCACACACTCAAGAATCAGATGAGTTTCTATTTCAAAATCTTTAGCTTCCAAACTTAAATCCCTTCCTCCTGGCTTGGCAACCCCTTTCACCATTTTTTCTTGGGTAATGCTGTTACCTCCATAATAATCAATAAGATTGACAGAAAGAACTGAAGGCCATTCTTCTTTTGAGTAGCTCCTAGATTCTTTTCTCATAGAGGGTACAGCTTTCGAAACAACAAATCCAGTAGAGAGGGGAATTGCAGAGCCTTTACTGTGTAGAAGATGGGCCAGTGGTGGGGATTCTGCAGTGAGGCATGTGGGCAGCTGCAGAGGTGTTGGTGGTAGAAAGCGCATGCTGGGCGAGGGGATCAAAATATAAGATGCAGATGTTGAACCGAGAGACTTCACAGGAGTGAAACCTTCGAGATAGCCTGACTGAGCCACCATACCAGTACTTTGAGTTGCCCCTGCAAGAACGCACACTGTTACATTTGATGGAATACACTTTGGAAACACTTTTAGTTGCACATACTGGAGTTATAAGGTTGCAGACTACCATCTGAAATATCCAAGTGCCATTTCTACACAAGACAAAACCTTTAGACATACTATACACTTGTCACAACAGTAGCTTACACAGATGTTACAATATAGACCACTTCTTACTTTGAGAAAAGGCCCAAAAAGTATTCAAATATGAAATGAGGTATAGTATATTTTACCTAGGGAAACACCCACTCAGTTTCAAAATATTAATTTCAATATCTCCTACATTTCAGAGGACCTGGGGTTCCTTCATTGTTGGGCCCAATGGGAAATGTCCTATGCCCACTAATGCTGCTTCTAAAAACAATTTAAAAATTAATTAACTATATTAGTTAGTGGCATTACATTTTTTTCAAAAAAATTCGGGCATAGTTTCTGCAAGAATTCTAAGGAATAAAAATTTGTTATACGGCAGTACATCATGCAAAAGGTATTTGTTCTTTTTTCTTTTTTTCTTCTTCTGATTAAAACTCTGTTAAGCACAAAATTTAAGTTACAGCCTTCTCCCACATCTAGACAAGATTTATATAAGTGCAATACCAATAGACAGCCACAAACCAACACAAGTAACCAAATGGATACAACACAGGTGCTACGTGCAGCACCATCAAAACATGGTCACCATACCTTCAGACTTATTTTACTGGAAATGCTGAAAACATTAGAAGAACTAATATAAGTTGAATGGTTTATTACCAACAGACTTAAACTTTTGATTCAAGCTGGCTTTCAAACATATATGTTAGCAGATTCTCTATCTCTCACAACAAATGGTATTAAACCCAAGCTAACGGATCTGGGTGAACTTTCCAAATGACAGTGTCCCGGAATGGACCGAGGCATAGTTATCAAAATCATATGATTCGCGATTCGATACAGGTACAAAACGATTCGTATCTTGTATGAGAATCGTTTTAGAATTGAATCGAATCTGAATCGTACGATTCATACAATTCGATTCATATCTCACGAATTGCTTGATTCAATCACTTTTTTTTAAAACCCAAACAACGATGTCGTTTTGTTGGCTAAACAGTAAAACGACGTCATTTTTTTTACTGAGGAACTCGTGCTCTAATAAAAACTCAACCTCTTTACTCGTTCTCTCTCTCTCTCTCTCTCTCTCTCTCTCTCTCTCTCTGACGTCGTTTAAAGTTTGTCTTGTGTTATCTAAAGCTAAAGGTCATAGCCAACTCTCGCATTATCAGTTAATTTCTACTCTCAATTCTTTCATGGGTAGTTTGTTAGGTTCTAATTTTTTGTTTCAAAATATAAGCCAATATGTTTTCTCTCAATCAATTTTTTTATTTGTATTTTTTCCATTTATGTTTGCAACTTAATCTATACTGGGTGTCACTATTTTGATTCTTGAATAACCATGATTTTTTAATGAATTTTTTTTTCAAGTTATTGATTTTGAAAATAGTTAAGCAAAAGATCAAAATGAAACAAAACGCTAGCGTCTTTCCATTTAGACGACGTGAATATGGCAATTGATTATTTTTAAAATACAATAATATTCAATATTCTATGTAGTATTATTTTTTATTTTTGTTCAAATTTTGTGAATCTTACGATTCACGATTCGATACGATTCACAATTCTTAAATTTAGAATTCCGATTCACGATACAAATCGCATTTTAACAACTATAGACAGAGGCTCTTGGAAAAAAATACAACAATAATACGCAAGTCAGCTCCAGGAGTTAAAAGTTAAAACTATTGTGTCAGCTGCGCACTGGACTTGTGATAGAGCAAAGTGCAAGCAACTGACTGCAAAACCGTTGATAGAAATACAGATGCAATGACCAATTATCGATGGAGAAGGGCACGACCCATTTGCAAGGCTCCTGATAGAGTGCAAACACGGCGAATCTATAAGAATGGTAGTTAGGGTATGTCTGTTGCAAAAGCTGACCGATGACACGAAATAACAAGTGGCCTTGCCGAGACCGGTGTTTCACACTTGAGAAGTAAGTTAATGTCAATGTGGTTCATCATGTATACGAGAGATTGTTGAATCACGTGTGAAGTTTAGTGCCAAATCAAACAGAAAGTGACTAAAAAATGACCAATATACATTGGACTGCCTGCTTCCTATACGTTTAAGTTTTTGAGTGAAGCTCAATTCCAAACATGTATGTAGCCTTATGTTAACGGCCAGCAATGGTGGGCTCCGTGTCTCCTCCACCATTGTTTTATCACCTTAAAGCATAAATGTCTTTGTCCCTATGTTCAACGAAGAACCAATGATAGTTGTTTAGCACATAGCTACTAGAATTCACTCAATTCCTGGCACCCACGATCTAGATACATCAATTTTAAACAAGGTGGGTTTGCGATCTAGATTACTAAAATTTACGATCCCAAATTATAATACTAACTCAAAATCAATTCACTTTGAAACATATAATACAAATATAAAATACATATTGATTAACTAAGTGTATATAGATTTGTAATTATATATTGTTTTAAATAATAGAAAATCAAACACAAATGCAAGATAAATGATAATTAATTTAATGTTTATGAATGCTCTATAATATATAATGTTGTATAACAGTGAAAACGATCTAGATAAGAATTTCAAAACAATTGCGATTCAAAATATCGTACCAACTAACCATACCACCATCGTACCTCATAACTAAGAAAATGGCATACGAAATTTCCATACCTATACCACGTACCAAAACGACCCACGATTCAGCTAATATTTCAACATAATTCAAGCAAACAAAACAACTACTATAATTAAAACACTAAGAACAAGTACCCTCATGAATCAGCTAACAACCTATATTATACAAGTCAAGTCAATTTCTTTTTTTACTCTAAGCATGGTCAAGTTATCAACCATCCACTAGTAGAGCTTTGAGACACATTAATTGTGGTGTCGCGGTGCAGTATTGAGCGATACAACATAAAAGAAAATGTTGAATATGATGAGAAACTCAAATAATATCGTAGCGTCACGAAATCGTATCAACTGATTTGGTGATGATAATTTGGCAAAAAATTTATTACTTGGTTGAGAGTTGGCCAGTCCGGTCAATCAAAAAAAGGTGTGTCTGGTCAGGTGTAGCTAATATGACTTTCTTGATCTATAGTTCCTCTTCTTTCTCTCTATTGACCAATGTTTTGGCTTCCCTCACTCAAAATATCAGTAGTTGTGACACAGACGAGGTAAGCCCTCTCGAGATTGACTTGGAGACAACTCAGAAGACTTGGCCAAGTTGTGTGAGACTCAGGATTTATACTAACATGTAATGATTTCGACTCAGAAGACGCTGAGTCAGATATGATGCAACCGAATCATATCGGTATCAGCTGATACTTTGAACCATACTCCCCAATCTCCCAATAAATGATATTAGAGCATGGTTCAAGATTAGGGTATCGGTCATCAACTCGGAGAGCTCCGAGACACATAGGTCATAAAGATACATTATAGTATCGAGCGATATAACCTAAAAGAAAAGGTTGAATATGATGAGAGATTTCAGGTCATATCGCGATCTCACGGAATCATATTGGTTGATTCAGTAACATTAATTCACCGACTCAAAATTTATTTGAATATAACTCGGACGACTTAGTCAAGTCGTGCGAGACTCGGAGTTTATAAGTATCATGTAACGGTATCGTCTCGAAAGCCGTCAAGTCGGATATCACTCGGTTAACTTGTATCGATTTCGGTCAATACTTTGAACCATGTATCAAAACAGGTTGATGGTGATTCTAAGTGAACTCTCAAAGAAGCGATGTAGCATGCCGATACTAATGGTGGCTCTCAAGAAATGTAATGAGTTCTTGGTACTAAAGTCATTGAAACTCAACTCAAAAAAAAAGTGCAGGGCACAGGCTTGAGCGCAAAGAATCTTGGTCGAGTGGTACTGCGGTGACTCATAAAAAGTGATAAAAACTTGGCTCTTAGAAGAGCAAGCTCGATAATGGTTAGATGCAGTGCTTGTAAATATTATTGAATCAGACTCAAAGGGGAGCTAAACCTAATGTGGTTCACACATGAGGGGAAGATTGTTGGGTATAATATGTGCGGGAATCTCACATCGGATAGAAAAATAAATTAAAATGTCCTAATATACTATTAATTAGTTCACCACCTATAGGCTTAAAATTTTAGGTTGGAATGGGTTCCAGACATATATATTGAGCCTTGGATAATTGGGCTCCCTAATCTACCAACAAATGGTATCAAAACTGAAGGCTAACGATCCTAGGTGAACTCTCGAAGTAGTATAATGTGTCAACATTAATGGTGGCTCCAAAGAAAAGTGATGGGTTGTTGGTTTGGTATTAAAGTCACCGAAAAGCAACTTGAAAAAAAGAGCAATGCACGAGCCCGAGCGCAAGGACTCTTGGTAGGGTGACTCATAATGAGCAGTAAAAGCTTAGTTCTTGGAATTGCGGATTCTTACAAAAAGAATGGTAGGACGCGGTGGTTGTGGAACGTTGTGGATCAAACTCAAGGAGCTAAGCCAGATGTGGTTCACACATGAGGGGGAGATTGGTGAGTATTGCATGTGTAAAAATCCCATATCAGATAGAAAAATAAGTTAAAGTGTCCTAATATACTATTGATAGGCTCACCACCTATAAACTTAAGTTTTTAGGTGAGTATGAGAACCAGATTTGTATATTAGGCCTTGGATCACTAGGCTTTTTGTTCTCCTAACAAAGTTGCATCCTTGAAATTTTCTAGATTGATTAAACAAATCATTACATGTAGTGAAATGAGGAAGAAATCAATAACAGCTCCTAGAATTAGTGCCTAGTTTGTTTGGGGGCCAACCTTTTGACAAATATTGATCAGGGATCTTTGTAAAATGAAAAACAATAAATTAAACTGAGTCCTTCATAATTGTAGGAGTCATTGAGCAAACACTTTAAAGAAAAAAAAACCCTCCCACGACCACCCGGGGTTCTAACCAATTCATTTGCTGAAGAGATTTTGAGAAACTAGGACCGTTTCAGGTAAGAACATATGCCAACAGTTGTGGTCATTGGTCAATTATTTAGAGATTTAAAATAGCGCAGATTTTTCAATGTATGACACTTTTCAAACTAAAGAAAAACAATACACCATGTATGGTTTAGGATAATCAAAGATTAAAATATCGTTTCAAAACGGTTGAAACATCAAAACATTTCCATTTCCAAAAAGACCAAAACGAAACAGTGATGAAATCGAAATTCTGATATTTGGAGGTATTCCATAATGTTTTTAAATATATTACAATATTTCAATGCATTTGCACAATTGTTTTAGAATGTTTCAAGATATTTTGATATATTTTCATCAATGTTTTAGAAAAATAATTCTTAAATTTTTTATTTTTTTCATTAAATTTCTGAAATGGATCGAAACGTTTCTGAAATACGTCGAAACGTTTCTGAAATACGTCGAAACGTTTTCCGTTTCCTATGTGACCGAAATAATACGGCGAAACGATATTTTGATCCTTGAGGATAATACAGGTGTCTACATGCGCCCAAAGTCCCAATTCAACACGGAATGAAGAATAATGTCCCGTAATGCCAAACATGCATACCAACAAGTATCATGATTAAAACCACAAAATTTTAGCACTAGGTCCCAGTAAATCAATATATAAGCCTTTCACTTGTAACTAGAACTTTTTTTTTTTTTACCCCTAAGCCTACCTACCCCCCCCCCCCCTTTTCTTCTCTCTTTTTCCTCTCTCCCATCACATTTCCAAAGGACAGCTAGTAACAAATGTCTGGATAGTTATTGCACACATAAAAGGTAATAATAAGACCAACATTTGGGCATTGTTTTCCTCCCTCTTTTCCATCCGATAACGCTAATTGTTACTTTGTGCCTATGGTGAATGCTTATGCTATGACTATCTGGATTGAATAAACAAAACTAAATCCAATATATATCTAGGATTAGCGAACCTGCTAACAGGAATGAATTTGGATGGCAATCCAATAATAAATTCCAACGACTACACGTGTGTATATCTGCATAGATTTAGTCTTAATTCAATTTGATTACCACCATTGAGAAACTTTGGCACATTTGTACGCGAGAAATAGCATCCAATTAACATTTAGGGCACAAAAAAAGCTTCAATAATAGGATGAAACATTAAAAAAAACATTATGTTTGTGGCCCTTCATGTTTTCAACGACATGTGCTGCCTATAAAAATTAGTTAAACAAAAATGCAGTGTGTTGTAACCCTAAACCAGGACATGGAATGAATTTGATGGGAGAATGGATGAGGAATGAGAAAGTAAAACAAGAAAAGTAGGTACCAGGAGATGTTGAATCTGCATGACAAACTAGGTGTAAAGAATGATCAACTGAAACGGAGATGAAAGTGATGCTTTGCACCCATTGAAGTAAACCCCTAGAGGTGTCCACCATAGTCTGACCACCCATTATCTGTTTTCTACCAGAGGCTTGTCCCAAACCACCTTTCATGAAAGCAGAAGCCTTTGAGTGAGGACTGTACAAATGACCAGGTGAAGAAGGTAGGGTTCTCTCTTGTACTAAACTCATCTCTTGTTGCTGCAATGAAGTTCCACTGTTGCTAGCAGGCATCCCATCGGGCACAGCTCTTCGTAGCTGCAGAGGCCACTTTTTCACCTCAGAACCCCCAATAGAATAGAGAGCTTTCTGCCATTCTGTTTACAAACATATTGGCATTGAGTTAGAAAATACAAGAAAAATACCCCCGTGATGAGGAAATACAAAGAGAAACTACAATCTATAGCATCATTTAATATTGCCGTTAAATTCTTAGGCCAACAGAATGATAATTATAAGTGGCTCCATAATCTCTATCAACTCCTAGTCACCAGCAGGTTTCAAGAGCAATATATTGTAGCATGCTGTAAAACTTCATATCAGACAATCACCGTGGCCCCTCAAACTGCAACTTATTTCTCCTAACATATTTCGTGCAAATGGAATGAATTTTCATGGATATTCATTACTTGTAGAAAAAGATCAAGGGTGATTTGATCAAAGTATTGCAGCAGTCACAACAAACAAATCAAGCAGCCACCCTTAATCATCAAACATTTGACATAGAAAACCACTCAACACGAGAAAGCAATTAGCAGTTTTCTGAATTTTCTAAAACTCAACAATATAAGATAACAAAAAGAATGAATCATAATGAAAGGTCATGGAAGAAAATGATATACCCTGACACTCAAGCTCAAAGAAGCATCCAATGCGTGTGATCACAAAATCTCTAGGCTTGGCAATGCCAGTATCAGGAGAACAAGCCTGAAGAACCTGACACCCTTGTTGCAGAATTTGGACAAAAAGTGATTGGAGACCCTTCGTATCTTGCCTACTACTAATACCACCGAAAGGGAATACAGAGCTGTCCAGCAATTCTCCCCGCGAATCTGTCCAAATGCATACTAGCCAACGCCAATCTTCAGTCCAACCATAGCAACAATGTAGGCTTGCAAGTGTCTTTTGGTGGCCAGATCCAAAACCATCCGACTCCGATCCCTCAAAATGAAAGCTTGTTCCACTATCTACACTTCCTGATGTAATTGAACTCTGCATAAAGCTGCCACTAGTACCATCATCCAACAACAGCTTTGAAGATTCAGATGCTAGATTCCCAAAAACAGGAGGTGAAACTCCACGCTCTAGGGAACCAGGTTCCGCAAGAATAAAAAGGGGTTCAAACATGAAACGAATTTCATCTGGAAGAAAATTTGGGTTGTGTCCTAGTCCTCCAGTCCTTGACATTTGCCAAGAATTATCCCAAGCACCAGCCCTCAAGCTAGCATCATAGTCACCCTCTCTGGGAAGGGCAGGTCCCCCAATACGAGAAGCAACACAATCCTTCCACATCCCTGGAATTGGAGAAGACATTTGCATCATGACTGAAGAAGATCTATTAGATAGGGACGATGATGGAACCACATCACTATAGGATCCTCGTGAAATTCTTCGAGCTTTATTGTAAATGGTGAAAGCAATCTCCTTAAGTATGACAAGTTCACTAAGAGCTGGAGTTGTAACCCTGAAAATGGTATCAACCGTAACAATCTGCAACACCAATTTAGGTATACTGAACCCTGAAAGTGTTAGAACATTTGATACATATGCTTCATCCACAGCTGTCGAGCAGCTTAATGCCTTCCCAACTTGATAATGCATTGTAGATCTCCTTTCTTTATCTGACGAAAGAATGACAGATCCAACAGCAATAGATGATTCAACAACAGTCTGTAGAACTGCCATAGGCTCAGGGAAAGGGCACACCACATAGATTACCTGATAACAAGAATCAACCACATATGTTGTGTAAAATCAGGAAGGACTTCTCTTGAATAATATATGCATGTCTAATAGCACCCTATTCAGAATAATCCCACTACAGCCGATTGCCAGATCTACCTGTATTATATTTATAATTTATGTTGCAGAGCACAATGAAAAGTATTTGAGCTCACAGGGATCAGCTATGAAGATTTCGTGTCCTTTTGTTTTTTAATGTCTCCTCATGACTGTTTTACTTAAAAAGTCTCGATGCAATTCGAGTAACTTTATTACTGAGATAAATTGAGAGAAAATATACTAAGGTAGTTTTGGCATGTGAAAGAAGGCTTTTGAGTGTACCTGTAAAAAGAGTAATGTGATCCCTACAGATGGTAACACTATAGGTATAGGAAAACCTAAATTAATGTAAATAAAGACAATAAAGAAAGAAATAATAACCAACATTTGGCCGAGAGCATGGTACTAGGCAGAACAGAATGGTGAGAAAAAAAATAAAAGAGCCGACCCCAAGTAGCTAGGATAAAAGTTTAATAACGAAGTTGAGCACCCTTGTAATCACTTTATCCGCTAGCTGAAAAACTGAATTCTTGGCATTCTTACTACTTTCCTATTCTTCTTTCATTGCATATTTTTTTCTTCTTTTCCTTTGTGAAATTTTATCTAGTGCAATCACTGGAAAAAATCTTTTTCCACATTCCTAGAAATTTATGTTTTCCTCAATCCATACCATTTAAAGAAGGCCAATATGATTCCAGAATTTTTTTTCAAATGGAGCAAAGAAATGATGCGAGTGTGCAATACGTAGGCTTGTCAATTAATAAGGACAGATCAAAGTTTCACAAAGCTGAATCCCAATACAGACTAGATTTGAAATTTCATTTTTACTATCCCTATCTGAATCCTTAAAAACTGAAAACACAATCCAATCCGAGTATGGAATTGAATTTACCAACTTACAACTTATCATATATATAATTCACAATGGATCACAAGCAGATCGGATATTAGAATATCCAATTTGAATTCATGGAATATCATTGACAGGCTTAGCAACAAGCTCACTGGCAACATTTCCGATTTATATTTTACTGATTTACAGATTTTATATTGTCAATTAAGGAGAAAGTAGTAAAGTAGTTCTTGGTGTCTAGGTATCCACTAAGTGCACAAAAAGGCCCTAAGTAACCGCATTATAGCAGAAACAGCACTTGACTAATTACACAAAGATGCCGCAGTACTCCACTAATGACATAACAGTCCCCTAAAATCTGTGTTGTAACACAAATACCCCTCCCAAGAATGTGCAAACATTTATTTGATTAGTAAGCCTATCATGAACGTACTACAGTTTCAAAAAAAAAAAGAGGTAAAACCCGCAAAAAAATTGTTATCAAATAAGATATGGTTGTGCTTGCGGGAAAAAAAGAAGATGTAGCTTGCAAAACTTGAAAAACATTGAACATATATGCATCGTATCAATTAAAATAGATATAAAAAGCATATTATTGAGGAAAATAATGTTCAACGAAAAAGAAGAGAAAGCAAATTGAACTTAAAGCTCCTAGTAAAAGAAATTAACAACATAGAAAACAAGGAAAAATCAAGATGAGACATATGACAATACTTGGAGATCAACTACAATTACTTCCCTCGCGGTTCTTGCATTTTGGAAAATGACAAACTTTTCTTGAGTTTTGGACTTCATAATATATTCCTCTCCTTCGGTTCAATGTCACTGAATGAGGATGA